AAAATTCTCCACAATCCACATGGTACAGACCGGTGTAAAGACCCACTCAGAATCCCTAAGTTGAAACCACCTTTGCAAAGATAATGGCAATAAGAGAAATCTGACATGGCTGACTGCATCTTGCTTCTAACCTCACAGGTTGTCTGTCTTCACTCAATCCTGGGCATAGGACAAGCTGACATATTTTTACTTTTAACTAAATTAAAATTTATAGTTTAACTTAGAAGCAAGGATGATAATAGTTTCTCCCTGAAATGAATCCTCTCCGTGTTGGGGCCATGGGGCGGGCTGAAACTACTTTCACAAGACTAATGAAAGGCCATAAGATTAGGATTATGGGAGGGGCCTGAATTCTGTTAAAATGTGGATATAGTTTTTATGATCCCTTACTTCTCAGGAATCGTGTGAATCATGTGGCCAGAGGTCACAAGATTTATGACTTCCCTAGTTGCTCATACAGATAATATCACTATTGTAGAACTTAAGATTGGTCTTTTGAGATATTTTTCAGACTGACTCCACCCGGACTCATGACTCATAACTCAACTGTTCCTGTGCCCTCCTCTCCCACCAAGAGGTGGACTCAGTGCACACATGGCAACCATTTTCCACACCCCTGTGATTGCATTGCCAACCAATCAGCAGCACCCGTTCTCTATCCCCTACCCAGCAAACTATCCTTGAAAAACCCTAACCTATGAGCCTTTGGGGAGACTGATTTAAGTAATAATTCTATTTACCCTGTGACCAGTCTCACATCAATTAAACTACTGCAATACCATGATCTCGGTGAATTGGTTTTGTCTGTGCAGAGGATGAGAGGAACCCATCAGGCAATTACAGAGTTGTTGTAAAGATTATTTTAAGCTGAAGACATTTGAGACTCAACAGATGCAGAAAAAGACTTTCTTGGAGCTTTCCTAATCTGACGAAAAACAGCAACTTTGGGAAATGAGGCTACCATAAATCCCTTCTCCTAGGGAGAGTCCTAGTTGTGAAGAAGAGAGACAGGCCACTAGCACCTGTGTAAATAAAACATCACAAACTTTCTTATCTCCCATTTATTCTCATAAAAATCCAATTGTCTTTCCTAAGGAAACCTATTTGTTCTTCTCCTTTTTCCTTCCCCTTATTATGTTAGGTATATAAGCCCTGAATTCTAACAGTGAGCACAATCACTGAGCGCATCACTGAGTACTCCTGTGTGTGTGCACATTGCATGCTTAAATCAACTCTTTATTTTTCTCTTGCTAATCTATCTTTTGACGGTTTCAATTCGCAGGCCCCCAGGCACTGACTCTATGAAAGTAAAGTGTTTCCTCTCCAGCACCAGGAATAGGACTGATATGGTTTGGCTCCAGGTCCCGTCCCAATCTTATGTTGAATTGCAGTCCTCACATGTCAGGGGAGGAGGCTGGTGGGAGGTGATTGGATCATGGGGGTGGATTTCCCCCTTGCTGTTCTTGTGATAGTGAATGAGTTCTCATGAGATCCAATGGTTTAAAAGTGTGTGGCACTTTCCCCCTCATAGTCTCTTTCCTCCTACTCTGCCTTGGTAAGGCATGCTTCTCCTTCACCTTCTGCCATGATTGTTAAGTTTCCTGAGGCCCCCTGGCCATGTGAAACTGTAGAGCCTGTTGAACCGTGAGTCAATTAAACCCCTTTTCTTAATGAATAACCAAGTCTCAGCTAGTTCTTTATAGCAGTGTGAGAATGGACTAATATAGGACTCTGCTTTGGACACTGACCCTGAGCAAGTGGTGTCTTTCTGCCACTGTTCTAGATGTATGTATGGATGAAGTTCTGTCATCCCCTGTTTTTCGGTAGCTTCCCACTACCGAGAGCTGCATTCAGTCCTTCCTCTGGAGGTGCTGAACTCCAGTCTTGTTTGCCTAGTTCCAGTCTCACTGTTTGTCCCTGTGGTTTCACACTTTGCTTATTGTTTAAGTTTTACTCCCTTTTTTGAGCCAGTGAAATTTTCCTCTTGCATTTTTAGAGAAGCATAGAAATATGTATTTAATATGTAACCTCTCATTCCTATGGATTTGGAGCACAGGAAAGAGGATTATGAATGTATATGCTCTGATATTTTTATTAAGAAGTTTTCTGAGTGGCTTACGCCTGTAATCCCAACACTTTGGGAGGCCAAGACGGGCGGATCACGAGGTCAGGAGATCGAGACCATCCTGGCTCACATGGTGAAACCCCCGTCTCTACTAAAAATACAAAAAAACTAGCTGGGCGTGGTGGCGGGCGCCTGTAGTCCCAACTACTCGGGAGGCTGAGGCAGGAGAATGGCATGAACCTGGGAGGCAGAGCTTGCAGTGAGCCAAGATTGTGCCACTGCATTCCAGCCTGGGGGACAGAGCGAGACTCCTCTCAAAAAAAAAAAGAAAAAGAAAAAAAAAAGAAGTTTTCTGAGAATGATGATTTCCAGCTGCATCCATGTCCCTACAAAGGACATGAACTCATCCTTTTTTATGGCTGCATAGTATTCCATGGTGTATATGTGCCACATGTACCCTAGGACATAAATAATAATAAAAAAATGAAAAAAAAAGAAGTTTTCAGGCCTTTTAAAAAGTGAGAATGCCAATATTTATCTGAACTCAAAACAATGGTCCTTGATTCAGTAATTCTGTGGAAATCTTTCTAGAGGAAGTAATCCAAAAAATGGGGGAAAAAACTTCAAGCACAGAGATGTTCATGGCTGTATTACTTTCTATTGTAAAGATCTGAATACATTATAAATATTTCCCAACAATAAATAAATATTAATATTTCCATTGAATGTAATATTATGCAGCTACTAAAATAATACTTTATAAAGAATATATAAATGCTTATTATAATACAAGGGAGAAAATTGTAGCCGTTTTTTGTTGTTTTATACAGGTATGCATTAAAAAATAGCATAGAAAGATTAATAAAAAGAAATCACATCAAAATGCTAAAAATGATTGTCTCTTAGTTTTTCTTTATTTTCAAAATTTTATGTTATGTATATGGATCACTTTTATAATAGGAAGATACCTAAGTAAATATATTAACAAAAAAGCTAAATGATAGAAGGACATTTTGAGACAGGCATCTTTCATGATTATAGAGAATGGACTGGCATACCACAAAATGATTGCTTCTAAAACACACAAACAGCAGAGGAACCTTTTGTGTTGAGATTATTGGTTGTGATTAGACGGATTTTCAGCATCAGGGCATGAGAAGCACCAGTTTGGTGACATCGAGCAAGGAGGCAGGGCTACAAGGGACTGGCAGATGGCAAGAACCTACACTCTGCAGGCAAATGGCCAGGTGCCAGGATCAGATGAGGGAAAGGGCAAGCTAGGAGACTGCGCTAGGGGAGCCAGTGGTAGGGGCCGGACAGGAGCCAACACTTATTGAGGGGTTGCTGGAATTTGTGCCAGACGCTGTTTCGGATCCTGAAATACAGGTGGAGAAGACTGACACAGTTCTTGCCTTCATGAAACTTACAGTCCATGGCAGGGGTTTCAAAATGGTTTTTTTTTTGAAAAGGGCTAGATAGTAAGCATCTTAGGTTTTGTGAGGCTATGCAATCTGTGTTACAATTACTCAGTTCTGCCATTGTAGCTTAGTAAAAACAGCCACAGACAATAGTAAATGGATGGGTGTGGCTAGGTTCCAATAAAACTTTGTTTATAAAAATAAATGGTGGCTAGACTTGGCTGATGGCATAGTTTGCCACCTCCTGATCTAAGTGAAAGACAGACAGTAAACAAGTAAATATTATAATTACACATTGTGATCATTGTCGGGAAGGAAATAAAAAGGTGATCTAGTAATAGTGAAGTAGTAATACATTACATTTTACCTTTTACGGGATGTGACGTCCATATAATAAAGCGCACAAATTCCAGGATACAGAATGTTCTTAACACCTTAGAACTTGGTCCTGAAGCATTAGAATGACCTCTCCATCCACAGAGCTGGGCATGGGGAAGCATTCCAGAAAGGAGGGAAAACAAGTGCAAGAGTCTGAGGCAGGAAAAGGCCTTGCATCTTCCATGAACAGAAAGGGTTTTCCTGGGGCTAGATAGCAGTGAACAAGGAATAGGGTGGGATGCTGTGGGTAGCGGAAAACCCCACAGACCTTAGAGGCCATTGTGGACATTCTGTATCTTATTCTAAATGTTACAGGAGAGGAATGGAGGGTTTTAAGCAGAGTGGCATGATCTGATTGAAGTCTCAAGATGATAAGTGAACTGCTATCTTGTTTCTGGACTTTTCCGTAGTAGTGTTCAGTTAGGGCTGGGAACTGGGGCTAGGGGCTGGGGGCTGGGAGTATCCAGCCTCAGCTGGAGCTGAGGTTGGCTGTGTGAAGAAAAATCCATTTAAGAACACCATTACCATACACCACGTACTGAACCATAAACATTGATTTATTTGTAAAACACCTCTTTGAAATATTACTGTAACCAGATTTATTGGCACCTGTTTCAGAGCACTTAATTAGGAGATACTCTAAGAACTGTGCATCAAAGACAAGAACCTGAAGAAAATGCAAGCAGGGGGTTCAGAGGTGAGGTGAGCTGGCAGGTACAGATCTAGCAGCAGCAAGTCATGCTGCCGAGGTGGAGGCTCATGGGTTAGGCGTGGGGAGGGGTCAGAATACCCCTTTAGCGCCCAGGAAGAGACCCCGGTGGTTTTTGGAACCAGAGGGGTGAGGTTTGCTTTCATTGTGTGTGACTTGGTTCTGATTTAATGTTTTGAAGACATATTGTAGGGAATAGTTACAAAGTGTCCCCATGATGGTGAAAAGAGGGGGCTGGTGAAGGGGCAAGAAGGAACGGAGTTTTGTGAATGGAGAATTAGAGGAAATGATCATTTGGGGCTCAGAGCCTTCCTCCTTCTCTCCCTACCTGCCTCTCTTCTTTTCTCCTTCCTTCTTATTCATTCATTTATTTATTTATTTACTGTCCACCTTGGTTGAATGTCATCTCCTTTCTTTTTTAAAAATGCAGGGGCGAGAGAGCAAGAGGAAGACATTGAATCCGTATGTACCACCTTATGAAGGCTGTCATGGAGCAAGCGCATACTAAAATATTGTTCATGTTTGTCTGACATTCAAATGTAACAGATCACCCTGTATTTTTATGTGCTAAATCTGGCCATCCGTCTATGCCTGTGGCTTGGGTTTTGCCATTTCAGCGTCAGCGAGTGGAACCTCCTCCTAATTACTCCCTGCTAATTGGAACCAGCTGCCACCAGGAGGCAGCCGGGCGCTGCGTCCACCCAAGATGAGGACAGTGTCTGAGATTCTAGAGAACTCTGAGTCTACCTTCCTCTCGAACTCTCCTGACACTCATTTCCAATTCTAGCCACAACTTTCCACTGGTCTCTCCTAATCTTGCTTTAGTAGAATAGCCAAACTTTAAAAAAAATTTATACTCCATTTAAAGGTAAAAAGAATCCATAACATCACATGCATCTTGCCTCCCTAAATAATTGCAGTTAGAAATTAATTCATCTTACTTTAAAAACCTAAATTTAGCCTCAACTAGTCACAGCTCCTGTCACTCACCCCCTTGACCTGGGGGTCCCCTTTGCTCCCAGCTACTCCCCTGTCCCTGTCCTTGCTCCCTCTCTTCACTGTCCCCTTCCTTCTTCAGCCGTCACTATGGTTACAGGGTGACCTGTTTCTGTGATGCCCTCTTCCATAGCCTGCTTCCGAGGTAATTTCCCCAGTGAATTCCACCTCCTCTCAGTTATCTCTGCCCTTATCCTCCTTCAATGGGGGGGAAAAGAATCAGAGAGAAAGAAAGCGCATGCATCCAGCAGCTCAGATACCAGAATTCTTTCTGTTACCAGGAGACTTTCTCCAATCAATGTTTCCTCTTTTTTTGTTTTCCTTCTTTATGAGGAAAAGCTGTTCCCGACTCTGCCTCTTACTCTGGCGTAAACCTAAATCCACTTATAAAAGTTAACTAAACACCTCTTGGCCTTGTGACTGTAACACTGAGCAAGTTTGCTTCTTTAAATACCTCCAATTCTGGAGCCAAAAGGGTCCTTTTAGGACAGAAAAATGAACTGAACGAAGAGCACCAGCTCTGTCACATAGGGGAGACAGCGACACAGAAAATGTTAACCAAGTCAGTCCAGGCCACGGGGAGATGTGTCCAAAGCCCAGGGCCCCGTAACGAGAGGCTACAGGCAAAGACCTTCCCAGAGAGGTGGAGAGGAAGCGTCTCCAGTGTCTAAGCAGCAAAGGTGATTCCAGAAAGCTTATGGTGAAATAATGTGGAAGCAAAGATCAGAAACAGCAGTGTTTCGATAAATATTTGGATGTTGGTTTGTTTGGTTTCTACTAATTTGAGATTCTGTGAGTTAGGTAATTTTTTTTTTGCTTCTCATGAGATACAGGATAACCTACTCAAATTATGCAAATACTCATTCAAAGGAGGAAGCAGAATTATGTTAGTCTCTTCTATAATTCTATTGAAATGGTGATTCATAGGGTCCATTCTCAAAGAAGACTTGCATCAAATGAACGCAGTCCAGTAACATTTTTTTCAAATGTCATAAAAGGGCTGTAACTCACAGGAACTCTTCTTAAAATCCCCATGTCCTCACCCTTCCACTTCCTATACACAGCTCCTTCTGGTCTCTTTCAGAGTATGAATTCTGACACCCTCCTACAGTCTAACATGTGAGTTACTTCGTGTTATTCTCCTCTTCTCTCAATTCTGCTTCATGGGAGTCCCCTAAAGAGGGCTGTGCTGGGAAGGCTGTAGGAGAGGAAGAAGTTGACTAGAAAAAGCTGGAACCTTCTTTAAGTTGTAGGGCAACCGGAAGGCTAGGAACACATTGACAGCAACACTTTTGCCTGGTTAAACTTATATTTTTGGTCTCAAAATGTAAGTTTCCTATAAGTCCAGACCTGTTGGGACAGTCATCTCACCTAGTGGTGACCTTGAGTGGTATTTGGTACTTGCTAAGCTGCTGCACATGAGGCTGGATGAATTTTGCTGTGCTCAAGGGCAGTAAAATTCAACTACACTCAGTCTGCCTGCCCTTAACCAAGGAGGAAAGCGAGGTAGTCTGTGTGGGTATGAAGCCAGCTCTCTCATTGCGTGTACAACGCCTGCCGTGCTCACCATCACCTGAGCCAGATCATTGACCTTTCTGCTAGGAGGATCGAGGGCAGAGGTCTATCGGAAAATGAAAGCAAAGTGTTTGTTACCACACCCCCTTTGTTATGGAGGTGATGGGCATTGGTGATATAGGTGATGCATGGGCAAATCTGCTGACATGCTAAAAGGAGGGTGGTTGTTCATGCTGATTTGAATTAATTGTTTATATCTTGGCTGAGTCATTAGAAATCTATGTTACAGTCTCTGGCTTTGCATGATCCAGAGCTCAATTTCATGACTGTTATTCTGATTTTCCTCTTGGGATGACCAGGCTTTGGGGGACTCATCCAATCTCCCAAGGCAGGCCAGTGGATCGATTTCAGGGAAGAACAGAAGCTTCATGAGGGAGACATAGATGTAAGTAGTCTCTTCTTGCTAAGGAAAGTCTACTTAGAATACCAAAGCAAGATGCTATTTAAATACTTTCTTCAGTTTCATTCTTTTCCTCTGTCCTTTACTGCCTTCCTTATCATCTGACTGAGGCAGGATCTTGGCAAACCTTATTCAGCAAAACAAATGATCAGAACCTTGGGAACCCCTGGACTCTGTTTTTGGAATCTCCAGAACAGTTTTGCTGGCCACTGTCTAGGAGAAAATTTCTTTCTCCAAACCTCCTTGCTCACAATAGTTATACCTTTTCTGGGATCCACCCTTTTGTGGTCCCAGTGTCCTGGAACACAGATGTTCATAGTGGCCGTCACATGGGCACTGTGGCCACGTGCATGGCTGGGGGTAGGGTGGGGGGGAGGGGGGATTTGCTGCCCTCTGCTGGCCACAGCGGACTTGGTCTGGTTGTTAACTACTGGGTCATGTCCACCTCTGGCAAAAGGCTGCAGTTCTCGCCCTCCAACTCGCCTTCCTCAGCATTTCTTAACAGGTACCAAATCCTCCTATTATTAAGAAGCATGGGATGAAGCCACATTGCAGCTCCCATGAAGAGTTTATCTAATATCCCCAAGTGAATGATTCTAGCAATATATCTAGCATAGGGATCATGAATTGTTTCTGGGAATGGCCCTGAAATATGGTCAGAAAATGTCTGAGCTCATCAACTCTGTCCTGACTCTCATTTGATTTGTTGTCAGACAGTGGTATCTCTGGATCTTGCCCTTACATAGTGTGGTAGTTTCTATTTGGAAGCCTCAAAACACAAAGCCCCTTCTATAGCATAATGATAATTATCATTATGATTAATCTGCTACTGCATCCTTTAAGTGGTGAGAATTGCAGAAATCTCAAACATCAGCATCAGTTTGAACCTTTAAACTAGAAATAAAGGGGAGAAGATTTGGCAGTATGATGATGGGGGCAAAAATCAGGTATTTGGAAGAAAAAGGAGACTGGGTTTAGATACCCTGATGTGCCAGCTTATTGGGAATCAGTAATATATGCCAACTTTTATTTTACCACGAATACCTCCTCAAAGTCTTGGATGGGCTTCTCTCTGGCCGTTCTGAGCACACTAATGCAGATTGGTAGTGTGATATCTGGAATGTACTTCTAGGAGGATCCATTTACTAGGCAGCCTTTTTTCTTTGCTGTGGAGGAGCCTTTTAGCAGATGGGTGTGTTATAAAATGGTTGGCACTTTGCCCCTACATGAGTGTAAATATTATAAACATGAACATCTGCCTGATATTACTGATGTCTGCAGGGCATATTGGCCTCAGTTTAGGAGGCTGAAACAGTGAAACACTCATCAAACAGTGAAAAATCCAAGAGATGGCTGACATGGGATGAGGAGGGAAATTAGTCCCTCTTTTTTTTTTTTTTGAAACAGAGTCGTCCAGGCTGGAGTAAAGTGGCCACGATCTCGGCTTACTGCAAGCTCGGCCTCCCGGGTTCACGCCATTCTCTTGCCTCAGCCTCCCAAGCAGCTGGGACTACAGGCGCCCGCCATCACTCCTGGCTAATTTTTTTGTATTTTTAGTAGAGATGGGTTTCACCGTGTTAGCCAGGATGGTCTCGATCTCCTGACCTCATGATCCGCCTGCCTCGGCCTTCCAAAGTGCTGGGGTTACAGGCGTGAGCCACCGTGCCCAGAACCCCCACCTTTTTTTTTTTTTTTTTACATAGAGTTTCACTCTTTTCACTCTTGTCCAGGTTGGAGGGCTATGGTGCAATCTCAGCTCACTGCAGCCTCTGCCTCCTGCGTTCAAGTGATTCTCCGGACTCAGCCTCCCGAGTAGCTGGGATTACAGGAACACGCCACCATGCCCAGCTAATTTTTGTATTTTTAGTAGAGACAGGGTTTCACCATGTGGTCTCGAACTCCCGACCTCAGGTGATCCACCCACCGCAGCCTCCCAAAGTGCTGGGATTACAGGCGTGAGCCACTGCGCCTGGCCAACTTAGTCCCTTTTAACCTTCATTGTGGGGAAAACTTTCCTTTAAGAAAGTTATGCAAGTATTATATGAAAATAATTTTTAAAAATCAAATAAAGGAATTTCAATAAAAAGTTGATTTCTTTCTTTTTGAGGCTGAATAACATTCTGTTGTAAGCGTATACCACATTTCTTTTGACCATTCTGTCAATGGACATTTGGGTTGTTTCCACACATTGGCTATTATGAATAGTGCTGCAGTGAACACTGGAGTGCTAATATCTCTTTAAGATCCTGATTTCAAATTTTTTGTACGATCCCAGAAGTGAGATTGCTGGTTCATATGGTAGTTCTGTCTGTAAGTTTTTGAGGAACCTCCATACTGTTATCCATAGCAGCTGCACCATTTTGCATTTCACAGTGTACAAGGATTCCAGTTTCTCCACATTTTCACCGAAACTTTTTGTCTTTTGTTTTTTTGATAATATTCTTTCTAATAAGTGTGAGATGATAGCTCTTGCTGGTTTTGATTTGCATGTACCTTATAGTGATATTGAGCAGCTTTTCATACATCTATTAGTCATTTGTATGTCTTCTTTGGAGAAATGTCTATTCAAGTCCTTAGCCCATTTTAAACTCAGATTATTAGTTTTATTGCTATTAAATTGTAGGAATTCATATTTTTGATACTAACCTCTTATCTGATATGTGGTTTGCATATTTTTTCCTATTCTGTAGGTTGCCTTTTTACTCTGTTAATTGTTTCCCTTGCTGTGCAAAAGCTCTTTTAGTTTGATGTAGTCCCACTTGCCTGTTTTTGCTTTTTTTGCTTGTGCTTTTGGTATATCCATGAAACCATGGCCCAGACCAACATCATGAAGATTTTCCCTGTGTTTTCTCCTAGGAGTTTTACAGTTGCAACGTGTGGTTTACTTTTGGTATGTTCCCTCTGCCAATCCTTAGGCGGCAGTTTTTTCACTCTGTTAAATCATTTAAATCATAAGGATGTATTTATTCCCCTATAATTAGCATTTTTAATCCAAATACTTCAAAAAGGAGGCAAATTGGGAAGGGAAGAATGAATACCACAGCCGAGTGACTGCAGATATAAAAAGTCCCTTCATTAGTTTGGTTGTTTTTAATTAATAATTGAACTTAAGGCCGGGCACGGTGGCTCACACCTGTAATCCCAGCACTTTGGGAGGCCGAGGTGGGCGGATCACGAGGTCAGGAGATCAAGACCATCCTGGCTAACATGGTGAAACCCCGTCTCTGCTAAAAATACAAAAAAATTAGCCAGGCGTGGTGGCGGGCACCTGTAGTCCCAGCTACTCGGGAGGTTGAGGCAGGAGGATGGTGTGAACCTGGGAAGTGGAGCTTGCAGTGAGCCAACATTGCGCCACTGGATTCCAGCCTGGGCAACAGAGCAAGACTCTATCTCAAAAAATAATAATAATAATTGAACTTAAATAAAGAGG